GTCCTTTACTTATCCACTTACAGAACATGAAACCCAAGACTGAGCAACAAGTAAAACTCCTGTAATAACAAGCTTTCAGTTTCTAAGAAAGAAAATATAACTACCTGCATTGTTCAGGAAATCAACCTTAAGGCTTAGATGAAAAGCCACCAGAGGAGTTAAAACTCAGAAGTGACTGTTCTTAAAGAGTCACATTGAACCAGGTGCTGGTGGCTGACGCCTGTAATACTAGCTGTACCGGAGGCTGAGATCTGAGCATCACGGTTCAAAGACAGCCTGGTCAGGAAAGTCCATGACACTTTTATCTCTAATTAGAAAACCAGAAGTGACACTATGGCTCAAGTGGTAGAGTGCTCACCTTGAGCTGAAGAGCTCAAGGACAGTACCCAGGCCCAGAGTTCAAGCTTTGACAAGTAAAATATTAAAGCAAAGCTCTCCATCTCAAAATTCCTTAGTTCAACAATAATGCAAGTCATTAGTCCTTTTTAATATAAACTGTGTTTGTATTTCTTAAGACATACTTTTTCTTATCCTCCTCCTTTCTTCTTCTCTCTCTCTCTCTCTCTTTTTAAAGAATTCTGGAGGTCTCTTTTTGTTTTCTACCGCATGAAATGACCTACAGATGATAAAATGTAGTAGATATGCATGTTTGTCAGCAGAGGTGAACATTACTGGGCTATGAGGATAGCCATGTTGGAATGGCCTAAATTTGGGGCTGAGTATCATTTGTGAACTTTCTAGTAAAATAAAATCTAGCCTAGCTCTGCTGAAACTTAAGCTTCTACTAGATACTACAGATACTCTATTCAACCCCCTACACTGACATTTTGTAATTCTAGTGACCTTTTTGTAATGGAGGGCAGCGTTGCCAATCTTGGGACTTGAATGGAGAGTCTGAGCACTGTCTCTGAGCTTTCTGCTTAAGGTTAGTGCTCTACCACTTGAGCCACAGCTCTACTTCCAGTTTTTTGGAGATAAGAATCACAGGTACTTTCCTGATGGGGCTGGCTTTAACTGAGGCCCTCAGAGGTCCTCTAACCTTCCTGAGTAGCTAGGATTACAGATGTTGAGCCACTGGCTCCTGGCTTCTAGTGACTTTTTAAATTGCTACTCTTCAGTTAATTATGTCAATTAAATTCTTCAATGTTACACCAAATATCAGGTGGGCTCTGCTGTTTGCAAAACTGTGACATGTGTAACTATAGGACAAGTTGGCTGATCGCAGAAAAAGTATTCCATGGAAATTGCAAGTGTATTAGGACTAGGAGTGAAGAGGGATCAATATTGAAACTTTTTATGTTGGTGTTAACAAGCCAACAGTAGATTTTGCCTCTGAAAGGGAGGCTTCGCATTGAAGTTTGGCGTTTTACACAATGTCTATAATGGCTCTGTCAACTATTCCTGAGATTCAGGAACAGAGGCCATAGTAAGAAGAAACATTAAGTTACATTTCCAGAAATAGAGGGTCTTCTTAAAAAAAAAAAAAGTCTGCTGCTGATTTCAGAGTATATCAATTTTCCACTTTCTCTTTTGATGTTTTGTAACTCCAGCTAAAAGTGAGGGGCGTCTAATAACCTTTGTGCCTGTTTCAGGGCAGTGTCTCTGCACCTTGGAACAGGATTATTTAATTGAATAAACTGTTTACAAATACAAGTAAGATTGCTGGTGTCCCACAGGGTTCTTTCTAGTCTCCTGAGAGTTTCCTGCTGTGCTGCTCCTGAGCGAAGGCCTCAGTCACTTTGGAGAGGAGCTGTCTGGTGTAGATTTGGCATCAGTACTTCCACACTCAAGCAGCAACTAGCTGAATTTTTTCCCCCTTAATTCAGCCCTAGCAGCATTTAGATTTAATTCATGACTTTCAGAGAGGGAAAACCCACAGAGTTCCCTTCATTTAGGAAAAATGAAACAACCTTTTGCATTCCAGTTTGACATAATTAAGAATCAATGACCACTGTTCTAATATGACACATGTAAAATCATATCTATAAAACAGTTGGGAACGGCTCATTTCATGCCACCCCTCCTCCTCCTCATCTCCTTGACTCTAAATTTTCTCCTCCTGTTTTTTTTAACTACCCAGGATAATTGTTGAATAATTGTTGTTAAGAAGCATGCATAATGAATTTTGAATATTACCACTAAATGAAAGTTGATATTGTACAACCATATTGAAAATTAAAAACCAGTGATATGACACACCAATTTACAGGAAATAAATTGAGATATTTTCTTCCTTGATGCAACTAACGCAGAAGTTTTCTAGAAACCATCTGTTAGGCATAGGTAATTTCAGAGAACATAATCACTTCACATAATCTCTTGCTTTTTGGTTCATGTGTGACTCAAGTTTCTAAAACGTGTAATATTTTGTGGAGAGTATTGCTGTGCCATTATAATTGTAAATATTTTATGACTAGAAGAAATGTTAGCTTCGTATTTTATATGTGACTGGCACAGTGGCCTTTAAAAAGAAACTGTATCATCCCACCCATCAAACAGCATGAGAGAAATGAATTTTACCTATCTCTTAATAATTGATAACCAAAACATGGAGACAATCTTAAGTAAAACTCTCCTTGATGCCTTTCTCAAAGAAAAGGAAATCAAGGACATAGGACATGCAAGCTGTTCTTGCCATTTGGCTAGCAAATCGATTATAGCAGGGAATTAATCTCTAATGGTATATGGCTTGTGCTAAAACAACAGAGTTTGGAGCAATTGACCGAATGAATAAAAAGCTGTGTATTCAAAGACTTAAATTTGATTAGCTATTTTATGGGGTAACACAACAGCTGTAGGTCATATCACTGTATTGGAACAAGGATCTTAAGTATCCAACTGTCTGTCTCTAACTTAATCTCCTCCTTTCAAAGCTAAGAATAATTGTAGCATTCTCCTGGTTAGCGGGCAGTTTTTGTTGAATATAAAAGCTTTTTGAATGGGTAAAAAGTTCAGATGGAACACTGTGCTCTCTCAGTTTTCATGGGAAAGGAAGTAACAAGGAAATGCTTCCATCAATGTTATTTGCAACTTTACCCTATATATTCAAACGATTACTTTAAAAAAATTACCTTTTTTCAAACCACAGTTTTAGATCACAAAACCCAACCAGATTCTAGAATAGGAAAACTGGAAGTACTTGTTACTGGTTATTACTTAAAACTGTTATTCTCTGTGTGTATTATACTTGCAGTCCATGAATGTGTGTGACTTAGAAACAGTGTATGTGAGTATTTTTCAATAGGAATCTATGTATGTGATTTACATATCAGTTCTATAAAAATTTGGGATATTTAGAAAACGAATTCTTCTTACTAGGGGAATGACATTCTACCCTAGTCTACCCTATTTAGGAGATGGAAAAAGCTCTCTAATCCCCCTCCCCTCCAAAAAAGGCTACAAAATAGCAGCCTAGCCAAACAAAGAAGATGGGGCCTTCAAACAATCTTGTGAAGATCAAGGTAAACTAAAATGGAAACATGTGTCCATTCAGAAACTGGGCTGTCATTCTACCCTTCAACTGTGACACAGCCAGAGCTGGCTCCTCCCCACTTCCCATGCACTGTGTTCCAAGAATGTCTTACATGCCCAAGAGTGCCTTACATGTAAATTCTTTCAGAGAATGTAATGGTCCAGCAGCTATCACACACAATTCTTTCATATGCTTGAATGAACAGTAGACTCTTAATCATTTTCTCTTTGCAACTGTGTTCTTGTAGGTTGCATTGTCAGAGGGAAAAATTGGAGCGTAAGCCTTAATGTCTGCAATTTTGCAGATAAATAGGAATATAGTACTGAGAATTGAGCAAGCTCCCATCAGATTAGAGCTGGTTAGATCATTCAGAAGGAACATTTCTGCCCTCATTATAGCAACCTCCATCATGATAAACCCCAAACTCTTTTAATGTTGCTCTTTTAATGGCTGTAAATTTGGCCCTGAGTTGGGTCTAGAAGGGTCAGGAACCAACTACACAGAAGAAGCCAAGTAAACAGATTTCCCCCACATCAAATTTTAGTAGACACTTTTCCATTGGAGGACTTTTTTTTTTCCGATCAAACATTCTTAGGTTCAATGAAATAAAATAGTATTTTTAAGGAATTGAGATCTACAAATACCCACACCTAAAAGACATTTTAAAAGAGTGGTAATATTGTCAGTGAATAACAAGGCATGTTCATATGTTGAATAAATCTTACAATGTGAAATGATAAAACAATACAGGTCAAAAATGTGAAACATATTTAGCATAAATATACTGCATGGAGAGGGAGAAAAAAGATAAAACAAGCTATATAGTCACCTAAATTAATTTACAGGAAAAGAGGTTTCTAAAAGTCCTCAGATGAAGCAAGTGCAGGTAATCTATAGGCAGGGAGTGCATGTGAGGTAATTCGAGTGGCTGCAATGCACTCTGGACTGCTTTGCTAATTGTCCCAGGCAAGATGAATCAAACTGCTTCAGAAAAGTAAGGCCTAGTTGAGTATTTGGGTAAAGGCCCCCCCTTCAATCAGCTAGTCATGAAGTGGCAATCATTGTATGCTTTTTGAAAGGATGGTTGATCACGCTGTAGAACGGGCTGGCTGCTGAGATAGTGGTCTTCTATGTCTCCTCAGCCTTCTCTGAGTTTACTGAGTTAGGTCCTCAGGATGGTGAGAGAGAATATCATTTTTGTTTTGTTTTGTTTCAGAAGCATCATAGGATGATTCCTTGATTTTTTTTAAACAAAAATTGCTTGAACCTTAAAATAGTTACAGAACTTTTTTTTTTTTTTTTTTTTTTACTTCAAAGAATTCTCAGTCCCCACTCCACACAAGATACTGTGAAGGGGCACTAAAGTGCATTTTGATGTAGGGGGTAGAGTTTAAAGGTGCTGTCCAAGCTAAGAACCAAGATGACACTGTTGTTTGTTTGTTTGTTTCAAAAAATTGAAAAAAAAAACAAGAAAAGAAAAGCAAAAGAAAGGCAATTCCTTCTACCTTCGTCTGGGAGACAGCTGAGGGAAGGCAGCAAACTGGGCCCTCCCTAGAGGATTGTCCTAAGTCTTAACTTGAGAGAAAACTGTGTAAAGACCTGCACATATAGACTCATTTATGTGTCCAAAATAGCAAAAATAGGCCTTTTTCATCCTTAAGAAAGTATTTGCAAATATGTTCAGTCATGTTCATAAAAACGGGAGTGGATTCCCGATGCAGTCCATGTGGGCATGCTCTGTGGTGCTAGCTATGTTTGTATCTTCAGCTTGCAGGAACGTGCTGCTGCTCATTTGCAACGAAACATGATTCCTAAACTACCATAAATAAAATACACATGAGACAAGTAAATCATGTTTTGACAATAATTACTTTTACATGGAAAAAGTCACTTTCATCTTCAGATATATCGAAAATTAAGACTTTAAAATCTTATTATTTTTCTAGTTTTAGTTAACAATCTTGCACAGGCCCGTTATTCCAAAACTTGGAGCTCTGATCTGCACAGTTTGGCAGGTTTCACACAGTTTGACAGGTAGGCAACTGTGAGATATGCATTTCTAAAATGTAGCATATTCTATCAAAACAGTCTGAAATCTTTTAAAATCCCCATACCGACTGTATTTGTGCAATGCCATACTTAGGAAGCTAGAAAGGAGAAAAGAAAATGTCTGGAAGATTAATCACAGTCCGAGTTTTCTTAGTCTTCGGTTTAAATAACAATGAGCCTAGGAGATCCAATTAAATACAGTGCCTTAAATAGGAGAGGAGCTGGTCCTATAATACAATAAATTAAGCAACTAGACAGGAACAGTTTCCACCACGGGTGATTTGATGCACTCTTCATGCAATCTGCTCTTTTCTGCAAGGCTCAAAGAATTTTCAGCAGGATGCTCTGAAATATGACTGTCACCATTCAATGTGGAGACAAATGCTTCCTGGGAAGGGCCTTTCAAGTATGAGTGAAATTCTACTTGCGGATGATTAGACCTGTGCTCAGGATACAAGCTATTGCAGGGCACCCCGTTTTCATTTTCAGAAGAGGAGCAGCAAACGATTACAGAGGGGTTGGCAGCTGGGTAGTGGGAAGCATTATAGGCCTCTTCTGCTTGTCGGGCATAGTCAACAAATTGCTCTGGGGTCATGGTATAAGGCACCAACGAAAGGGTACCGTTTTTTACAGTGTCTCTTTCAGAATAGTTCTCAGAGATCTGGCTAGGAGTTCCTGGAATGTGGTTATCTATTTGGTAATACAGAGTTGAAGAGTTGGCATAAAAAGAAGCATTTTTTGTGTGGCTTTCATGAACAGCAGTGCCATCAGAGTAACACAGGACTGAAGGGAGAGGGACAACTTCAGCATGGGTGCCCAAACCTTCCACAAAGCTGTCTCTTTTGTCTTCTTCGTCCTCCTCTTCCTCCTCCTCTTCTTCTTCTTCCTCTTCTTCCTCCTCCTCTGATTCACTAGGGGCCAGGCTCTGTGTGCTGGAATCGGTGACTCCACTGCAAAAGCTGCTTCCATCCTCCTCCTCTTCCTCCTCTTCCTCTCCTTGGCAATCTAATTCCTCAGCTGACTGCAGGTGCAGCACTGCAGCCTGAGGTTCAGTCTCAATCTCAAAATTGTCTGCAATGGCATAGTCTACAGAATGGGCAACAGGACCCATGGCACTGCTGTGAGCACTTAACTCACCATGGCAGCCATTCAGTGTGGATATTTGCTGCTCTCGGTTTTTCTCCAGTTCAAGTTTCATTATGGTGTGCAAAAAATGAGTCCGGACACGGATAGGATTAAATTCAATTCTACCTGCTGTGTTACTACATCCTTCTTTAGTGCAGCCACATGGAAAAGACATACGATCCACCTTGGAAGGAAGAACACAGATTAGTACCAGGGATCTACTATAAACCACATACAAATCTAATACCTCTCAACCACCCTTTTGAATTAAGTTATCCAACTCAAGTCCACTCATGTCAGAGCAAATGACAGTCCAACTGCAAATGGAAAGGAAAGGGGAAATAAAGACTTGAGTCATGAGATTTAACTCATTTTTAAATCAGTATTTTTTATGGGATTTTTAAGTGCCAGTGCATATTTTTATTTAATTGACCTCCTCCAGGGCTTGCATCAATTTCATTCACCTCTGTGATACCACTTTCATGTTTAAGCCTTGGATCTCTGCCTTCCCTCCTTCCTCCATTGGCATACAAACTTCTTGAGAGAATCGGATATATTTTTAATTGAAACTCCAGAACTATGAGTGATTGGTCTTTTGACCTGAAGTGTGTTCAACAAGTGTCATTGGACTGACCTCTTCACTTAGCTGGGTAAGTATAATTCTGAGCAACATATAAATATTCTTAGGATATTTGTCAATGGCTTAGACTCTGCAGACCTGCCTGTAGGCAGACCAGAATGCAAGCAATAGAGAAATTAAGTCCTGCTTCCAATTTTTCCAAGGACAGGGAACTTCCTGGGCTTCAGAGAAGGATGACTCTCATGAAGTTACTGTGATTTTCTTTTTTTTTTTTTTGGTCAGTCGTGGGACCTGAACTCTGGGCCTGGACACTGTCCCTCAGCTCTTCACCTCAAGGCTAGTGCTCTACCACTTGAGCCACAGCCCCACTTCCAGCTTTTTCTGCTTATGTGGTACTGAGAAATTGAATGCAGGGCCTCATGCATGCAAGGCAAGCGCTCTACCACTGAGCCACCTTCCCAGTCTCATTACTGTGATCTTAACAAAAACAAGGTGACTGTGGCAGAGAATCACAAACTCAGGGTCAAACTTCCCTGGGCAACTTGCCTTCTGTTTTAGTTCAATCAGAGGGAACTTGCCTAGTATGTTTAGTCTCTAGGCTTTGCCTACAGTCTCACACACACACACACACACACACACACACACACACACACACACACACACACACGTGCCCGCGGCAGATGTCAGAGCCAATATCTATAGCAGTTAATGTTACTCATATATCTGTTTTCTGCAACCTTATATACCTGGGCAGCTGTTCAGCTGATGAGATCTGAACTCCTTTTTTAACTGCTTTAGTGGCTGTCTTCATTGAAAAACCTGTGTCTGTATACACTAAGAGTAGCTATAGATAGTAACCAGAGATTCATTTTGTCCAGAGATTGATAAACTTCTTTCTTTTAATCAGTTTAACCTTTAAGGTGTATTTTATTTTGTTGTTGTTGGTGGTGGTGGTGGTTTGGGTTTTTTTTTTAGTGGGGGGAGGGGAAGAGTCTTGGAGCTTGAACTCAGGGTTTGGGCAATATCCTTGAGCTTTTTTGCTCAAGGCTATTATTTTTGAGCCAAACTTCTACTTCTGGCCTTTTGGTGGTTAGTTGAAGATAAGAGTCTTATGGATTTTTCCTGTCTGAGCTGATGTCAAACCATAATCCTCAGATCTCATCCTCTTGCGTAGCTAGGGTTACAGGCATGAGCTACCAGTGTCTAGCTAACCTTTAAGTTTTAAAACATATAATCAGCCAGATAAGAATGGTAGGGGATAACTTCCAACATTTGTCAATAAGCTCAAAATTTAAGTTCTTCATTGGAGTGAAACAGTTTTTTCTGTTAATCAGATTATTCTCAAGTTATAAGAATTCTTTTTCCATGATTTTCTTCTCGTACATTCCTCTACTCAATCTTGGCTGGCACAATCAGACAGACACAAAGTACGATGGCACTCTACATGCTAAGGAACTCTTAGCAGCAGGAGTAATGGCTATAGTAAACTGTGAATCTATGCATCCCTATTACCTCTCTCAAAAGGGTAAAAAACAGATACTTTAGGCTTTGAGGGCCATATGGTCCCTGTGATACTACTAAACTGTGCTACAGAAGTATGAAAGCAGTCCCAGACATGAGAAAATTAGCAAGCAAGCAACAGACAGACAAAATGGCAAAACCCCAATAAATCTTTGTGTATTAAAAACATGGTCAGTTAGATTTAGTCTGTGACTAGATAGTTTGTCAAACACTGGCCTCATCTAGCCTATATATTTAGAGATAAAGAAACTGAGCTCAGGAGGTTTACCTGTTTGCCCATTTCAATCAACTGGGAAATACCAAACACAAGAGCACAATTTGATTTTTTTAGGTCTAGATTTAGTAACTTCTCTCCTAGTCCATTCTGCCCCTAATGATCCATTAAGCCTCATGAGTTCAGGTCTAATCATCTTCCCCTGAGTCCATTTTGCCTCTAACCAATCATCACACCTTGTTGATGAATCAGAAAATACAAATATAAATGTTAGGAAAGCCATGTTCTCCCTCCTTGAGTATTTTGAGAAAAGCTACAATAATCTGGTTTAACAAGTTATTTCCAAGAGGAAACAATTTCAACTCAGTTAGCTGTAGTTTGGGTTGCCTTTCAAAGTTTGTCTCCCATACATAAAAATTTTGTGAATGTTCTTGAGTTAGCATTTCTTTCCCCCTTGTGACAAAGTTTTCTTCTCCACCCATTACATGCATCATGAAAATCTCAGGGCATGATATACTGCAGTGCAGGATCCTTACCTGACACTTAATGCCCGCAAGGCTACAGGTACAGGTTTCTGGATCACAGAACACTCTGCAGTCACAGCCACAGTCCTCTCGTGATAGACGGATAGCCCTCAGCTCATGCTTTTCTTCAACGTCGATCTTTTTCACTCCAGAAGCCCGCAGCAGAGCTCTTCGCTTTTTTGTCGGCAGAGGTTGTAGGAAGAAGTATTCATCTACTTCTGTGTTGTCTAAATCAATATCATCATCAGAAATGTCATCTACTGTAAGAGTGCTGGCCTCTTCAGATTCTACCGTGCCATTCTTAGTCATCTAGAAACACAAGGCAGTAAATCAGAGACATCACTTGGGCTGGGTGCAAAATTCCCATTTCAGCCCTTAGTGAGAGTAGGCCAGTACACATCATCATGTTCCATAGCCAGTATATGCTTGTGAGTTAATTTCTTTTCTTATTTTATATTTAGAAGTCACAAATAAAACAAAGGCATCAGAATGATAGGCTTTTAAATTTTTACTTGTTTATAAAACAATGGGAGGGTGATTTAAAAAGTTACATCATGTTCAGAAATTGACACGTTGAATTGAAATCCCTTTGTACGACTTCTTAAAGAAGACAGAACATTTTTTAATGTACTGTTTACAGAAGACTGCTAATTAGAACTCCTAAGCTCCTAATGTCAGTACTTACAGTTTGAGCTCGGGACAGTCACATGAGTATTTACTCATTTACCAAAGATGCCAGGCATCCATCACTGAAAGCTCTGTTTAAACTCAGTTCATGATGGGCATTTCTGATGTTAGAATAAAGGTGTTCTGGTGAGAATGGTATTTTAGTGGCAGCTGTTAACCCCTCATTCGGCAAATGCAATGTCCTTGAAGTAATAAGTCTGTCTTTCAGGTTCCAGAAAAAAAAAAAAAAAAAAAAAACAAAACCATGCACACAGGAAATAGTTATGTTGCACTGTGCTATTGGGATTACAAACATGATTATCCCACAGAACATTCCAAGAATGAGGCTTGATATGAAGCAATCAGTCAGGACGATGTGCTCCTAGGAAGACAAGGACTGAGGGCAGTGCTGGCTCATGTTGTGCAACCTACAACGAAACAATAAACCTGGTCCTCAAAGGGGTTCATGCTTACCTTAGCCCAAAGCCAGACCTTCTTCCGTACAATAGCTCATGAAGACAACCGTTTCTCACATACTGTGACTATCTGGCTTCTCTTTATTTTCTTCTCTAAATTAATCTCATCTATCACTAAGCCCTGAATCAGTATTTCTTTCTTATTCTTACCACCACATCTTGTTTCCTTCATACAAAACCATCTAGAAAGAGATGAGTTTCTATATGAGCAAGATATTTTTTCCTGAGGAGAAGTACAGAAATGCAGCAATTACATAGGAAATAAATCATGAAAGTTTTAAATACAAAAGCTATTTTATTTCAATGTGTTAATTCCTATTCTTCATCCATTACAATGGTTACTATTGTTTGGTAATCTTAATAACTAATAAACACAACTGTTTATTGATCTTCAATAAGTGATCTTCAATAAACAGTTAAAATACTCTATTGACTTCAGACATCATTCACTTATCATCATAAGGGAAAAAATCCAACATTTCAATAAGAATATTACAATTGAGTATATTAAAGAACAAACAGAAGATTAAACTGTTTCCTTTGTAGTAGAAACAACACAGGAGCAAGTACATGGTAAAAACACATTACAAAGGGTCTTGAGATGTACTGTCAAAAATCACTTAACTACATTTGTTAGTATTTCAGAATTTTAGAGCTTAAATCTATGCCCTTACAAAGACAGGCATTCCTCTCTTTGTTTCTTGGCTTGCTCCTTTTTATGTAGCCCTTTGTCATTTCTTTTATTACTGTTATTGCTGATATTGGGTTTGAACTCAGAACCTGCTAAGCTGGTACAAAATTACTGAACCATACCTCCATTCTTGTATGCACATCATTGGTTAATTAGATAGATCACATTTTGCCTGCCAGATGCACTCCTGATCTGTGATGCACTTACATTAGGGTTCACAGTTAATGAGATCAGAGGCATATACTGCCAAGTCCAAATTCCCTCCATGGAGATGAAATCTTTCAGACTTCTCTGCCAGGTCTGGCTTGGTATCACATTCCTCCCAAACACAGTCTCTTATGTAGCTTAGGAAGACAGGGATGTGCCACTGAGCCCAGGAATAAATCGAGAAGGGCTTTCAAAAGCTTACCTGCTCAGGGTGGCTTTGAACTCAAGCAGCTAGAATTAAAGGTGTGAGTAGTATTTCTTTTGGTATATTTCTCATAAGTACTGCGTGCTAACCGATCGCGCCACTGGAGCTCCATGGTATATTTCTTTATATATACATTACACTACTAAAATCTTGATTTTATGTTGTTATAACTTTTGATAATTCCTACTTTCCTACTAAGCAGCACATTTCTATCTGCAAAGATTTGATTTTCTAAGGGATGTAAGTGTATAATTACCTAATATACTCAGTCTCTGTAACAAGTAAAGCTGTGTGGATAAGCAAGAGTTCTCTTTCCCATCTTTTCACTCTTAGGCACTCAGATTTATTTAAATTAGTTCTTCGCTTGCTTATGTAAATTTCAGCAAGCATCTGACTCTGTGGCACATGAAGACAGAAGGAATTTGATTAGTAGGATTCATTTTAGTACTTTCTTCCTACTTCCATATTCTATGAATGTTTATGTTTTTGTACAATTAGTAGTACTACAAAAGCAAAACCTTTGATTTCTGTCAACAGGACTAGAACTTTTAAAATATTGCTATTGAAACAATACATGGAATCTAAAAATGAATGCAAAGCGATTTCAGCAAATATGTGAGATAATTGTATCAAAAATTTTAGGGCAGAATCAGGCACCAAGAAGGCTGAGATCTAAGGATGACAGTCCAATGCCAGCCCAGGCAGGAAAGTCTTTGAGACTTTTATTTCCAGTTAACCAGCAAAAATTTAGAAGTGGAAGTTTAGCTTAAGTGGCACAGTACTAGCCTTGAGCAACAAAGCCAAACAAGAGTATGAGTCTAAGTTCAAACCGCTTGACCAGCACGCCTACAAAAAAAGAGACAAAGAAAGGAAAGAAGGGAAAGAAAGAAAGAAAGGAAGGAAACAGAAAGAGAGAAAGAAAGAGAGAAAAGAAAGAAAAACAGAAAGAGAGAAAAAGAGAAAGAGAGAAAGAAACAGAAAGAAAAGAAAGAAAGGAAGGAAGGAAGGAAGGGAAGGAAGAAGGAAGGATGGAAGGAAGGAAGGAAAGAGTAACATAAAAAACTGTCACCCAATGGTATAACCCCTGTTTTCACTGTATTTGATGTTGGAAAATTTGTGGAGGGGAAGAGAAAAAAACAAATTGTTTAAATAGGGATACAGGTGGACCCATTGCAACAATAAGATGTACAAGACATCATGTTGAAAAACGAACTTTACAACCTTGGGTAGGGGGGAAGGGGGGAGACACGGGGTGGAGTAGGGAGAGGGGAAGGGGTGGGAAGGGGAAACAAAGGAGGAGGCAACAATGCTCGATAAGAAATGTACTCATTACCTTGCCTATGTAATTGTAGCCCCTCTGTACGATATTTTCACAATAATATAAAAAGAAATGTACTCATTACCTTGCTCATGTAATTGTAACCCCTCTGTATGGTATTTTCACAATAAAAAAATTTAAAAAATTTGTCACCTACAATTTATGAAAGAAATGACTTCATATTAACTACTAATTTGGTTTACCACAAATGAAAATGCCCATAGGAATAAAATCTACATCACTTACGCTCATGTATTTAAATTATAATAGATTTCTATTAAGAATCTAAATTCCTCTCTCACACACAGTTATGTACTGTTTCCACTCTTGTTTTGAAACCTACAGAAATCATAAGCTAGGCTGTCAAAAGCTGACATTAATGTAGATGTCACCTAGCAAGGGTCTGTCCTCAACTCTTTGACATCAATTCTATAGCAAGTGGCATATTCTAGCTCAGCTTGGCCAACCAGACCACCTTTCCCTTCTCTCAGCTGTGGCTGGTATGCTGGTTTTGAGACATGTACTCTCCTGTGCTCTGGGAAGCCTTGTCCTTTCCCCGGTATATGCTCATACTCTCCCTTAAAACCCATGCCCAAACTACTGAGTTTAAATGTTTTCAAGGGCTGGGAGGGTGGCTCAGTGGTAGAGCGCTTGCCTTGCATGCCTGAGGCCCTGGGTTCGATTGCTCAGCACCACATAAGCAAAAAAGAAAAAAGCCAGAAGTGGCGCTGTGGCTCAAGTGGTAGAGCTCTAGCCTTGAGCTGAAGAGCTGAGGGACCACGCCCAGGCCCAGAGTTCAGGCCCCATGACCGGACCCCCCCCCCCCAAAAAAAAAGTTTTCAAATATAGTTTTCAAGACAATTGCAACATGAGAGAAGTCACTGATGCTCTAGTCTGTGTGTGTGTGTGTGTGTGTGTGTGTGTGTGTGCGCGCGTGCGCGCGCATGTGCTGGTACCAGGGCTTGAACTTGGGGCCTGTGTACTATTCCTTAGCTTTTTGTTCAAAGCTGGTGCCCTACCACATAAGCTGTGGTTTCCCTTCTGGAGCTTTGCAGAAGTAAGACTTTGCTGCCCAGGCCAGCTTCAAACCAGATCCAGACCTCAGATCTCCTGAGTAATTTAAAAAACAGGTATGAGCCACAGGTGCCTTGAAGAGTGTTCTATTCTTGTTCACCAACTGATATCCATTATTATTTCAGTACCCAGTGCAATGAAATCAAAAGATGTCTTTGATGAGCCTGGGTAGCCCCACACACTGCAGGATTCTTTGCTCTATGAGTGTCTTTATTCAAAAGACCATCCATTTTATACAATATTTTATTCCCTCTTGATATAAGTGTTACTTTTGAATGTCTTTTCCTATCTGAAAATGGAATCATTGATGAAATTTTTCAACATAATCTCTCTAAGACACACTTAGAGCGCCTAATTCCCTAACTCCTATTTCAACATATATTCCCTACATCTCCTAGCTAGATTATAAGGTTCCTATGATATTTGATAAAATGCTGGTACCCTAGCATGGAATTAAACATAAAGTGTCTAAAAATTTGTTTAGAAAATAACATAATCAGAAGGTTGGGAATGTGGATGAGTGGCAGAGTGCTTGCCGAGCATACATGAAGCCCTGGGCTCAATTCCTCAGTACCACATAAACAGAGAAGGCCAGAAGTGGTCCTGTGGCTCAAGTTGAGTGCTAGCCTTGAGCAAAGAAGCTCATGGACAGTGCCCAGGCCCTGAATTCAA